ATATATATATGTGTGTCTGTGTGTGTGTGTGTGTCTGATTAAACTAGAATTGTATGACAATATTTTCTTATGACATGTTATGTGGTTTTGCTTTTTCAAAATTCATCTGTTTGTGTTTCACTATTAATATAATTTTCTTTCATGTAAATCTATTATATTGTACACCTGTTTCCTACCTGTTCTTTCCTTGAAATTCCTGTTCACGTATGGTTATCTTTTGTATTTGCAGAACGAACATGAAAAAATCCGGGAGTTATCGTTACAGCTGGCAATTGCAAAAAACAGAGCCGATACTTTCGAAAGACAAGCTGCTACATACAAGAGACAACTGCATATGGTTGTGAGCCACATCGAAGAGCACAATCAGTCGTTATCCAACAAAATTCAAAAGGTTTTGAACAATGTGTCTGAGCTGGAGTCCAAAGACGGAAGGAAGTTGTAGGCTCGTCCTTTTAAGACAAGACTGGTGACACTGTTATTTGTGACATTGTTTTGCAGATAGCTAATGAAAGTTAGGAGGACAATTATGTTGATGTATGTAGTGCAGAATGTACAGGCGATTGCAGCTTTCAATGTCCATTGGTTATTTTGTACAGACAGGTGTGCACAATGTAATAATAACTCGGTGTGTTACGGCTTGGCCCTGATTTTATGAGTAGAAAAAGGCCGAAGAAGTTGGGTTGCGTTTGGGATACCTTCTCGTCCCTGGAATTTTTGACCTTTTTTTTTTTTTTTTTTTTTTTTTTTTAAAAGTTGATGAATTCATTGTGGTTTGTCGAAAAAAATACTCTTTTATAGAGTAATTATATTATCAAATTGAATTTGTGTCTTTCAAATTTATAGGGTAATACTCTCGAAAAAAATACTCTTTTATAGGGTAATTATATCTAAGGGTCGGCTCAATGAATCGCCAATAAACTGGCCCGACCCGAATGAACTGTAGGTTTTTTATTTAAAAATATAAAATCAACTACGACCCAAAACCGGCTCTTAAGTGCGAAGGGTCCGGTTCAAAAACCGATAAATCCGCGGTCTGGGCCGGTTTTGGGCCGGGGCCCTCATCGCACATGCCTCCTAAATGATGTCAAAAAATGTTTTAGAACTTTTTCTTAACAAGTATGGGGGCATGTGTCCTTTATCCGCTCCCACAAGTAAAACTCTGCAGTTCACAACCTTTGTAATAGATTATAGATTACGGGTCATTTTTTGTAATACCTCCAACCTCACAACTTTTGTAACTTGTGTAATAGTTCACAGCTCACAACCTTTGTAATATCTCTCAACTCAAATGTTATATAATAGCTCACAACTCATAACTTTAAAAATAGCTCAAATGGGCTCAATTAGTGTGACATACTCCTCTCAGCCCACCCATCTTCGAATTGTTCAAAGTTGGAATCAACAAGAATTTATCTAGATAACATGAAAGATATATTATTTTTCGTGAAGTTATAAATAGACCCAATAATCAATAATATTCAAGTCAATATTATAATACTAATATTTTGCATAAAATTCATGAGAATTGTAATTCAATATAATATTAAAATACTTATTTTTACATGAAATCATGAGAATGTAATTTTTGAAATACACATTGATAAAATTTTTGTAAATTAATACGAAAAAGATATTTAAATTATATTATATAAAATCTAAAAGAAAATAACATTTTTATAAAATTAGCATATCATATATGATAAG